AAAAAAAAAAAAAAAAGTTATAAAATCATAAACCAGTACTTCTAATTCAATTTACAAATCTTATTTTATTTCTAAATCTAGTAAATTTTAATATCTACTTTTGAAGTGAGCTTTATTCATATCTGGTGTCATTTAAAAACTTTATTATTTAAACTTCACCTAAATATTTTTAATTTAATATATTCCTTTTACTTAATGCTTCTTACTTGAAGAACTTACCCAAATGTTCAGGACAGTAATGAATCTAATAGATAAAAATTGTGAATTCTGTGAATCCTAAGTTCTCTGAAATATTTCAATGCTTTTTACAAACTTCATAAACCCATCTTGATTTTCAACTTAAAAAAAAATCACATCTCTAAGATTGAAAATTCAGTTATACATTTTAAGTTGGAATCATGAAGCTAATGTATCAGATCCCCTAATAAGCTAAATTACCTTAACTGGTACAAATATTTTTAAAAAACCAAACATACATAGATCATTCCTAAAGTTAATGCAAAATAATTTATTTTGCTGGTTGTTAGTTCATTATGTCTATATGTAAGGGTCAAATGAGAGTTTTATTATCCACAAATATTGGGACTTTTATCACAAGCAAGTTGATCTAAACATCCCAAAAAAGGTTATCTGCTTAGCACTGATATTCAATCCCAAATCTTTTACCCAGGTTCTGCAGGAGCAGCCAACACCTAGGGCGATTTTTCTTGCAACAGTGAGGCAACCTGAGCCCTATTTTATGGTCACTTCGCGATTAGAGACCCCAACCTTATTCTTCTCCAAGTAGGGTGGTAACAGTCCCCATTCCCTGGATTCAGGTTATTTATTACCTAACACTCAGGTAAGATTCAATTTATCTACTGCTTGATTTTATTCTTATTTTCATACTTTTCCTCTTGGTTAGGGGACACAATGCTTACAGATATTTTAATGATATCTGATTATACCGTGCATATCTTTTTTTTCTGTGTCATGCTAACAACAGTAGTCTGTTACCATCACTGCCATTCTTCTTTAGGTCATTATATGATAGCAATGTCCTGGGTAAAAGGATACATTTCATAGGTCTCTGGAGTAAGCACTTTAACGCTTCCTTACCCTCCTGGGCCCTGCTCTTGGGTGGTATGCCTTAGCCTGTGACGGACTGGTCTGAGATGACTTGGGTTGAGTGGGCTTGGATTGAGAAGGCTTACACTGAGAGGACTGGGGCTGGCATGGCTTGGGCTGGGCAGGTTTGGATGGAGACCTTTGAGCTGTGGGGTGCTGAGGTTGAGAGGTTATAGGTTGGGAGGGTTTGGGCTGGAAATGCTTGACTTGGGATGGTTTGGGCTGATTGGATTTGAGCTGAGATCTGGGTAAACATGTGCTATTGGACATGGGATGAACTCCCATCTGGAAAGCTGGATTTAAAGGCCCACCCTCTGTCTTCATCTGGGCTCCTTGCCAAGGGGCAGGTCTTGCAGGTTTTTGTATAATGCCTGCTGCTTGAAAAGCTGGTGAGTGAGGATCTTTAATATTAGGTGCTTTTCTCAACAGTTTTCCAGTTGTCCCAGTTGGCTGTGTTCCTTGGGTGCAGGCTTGCCTAGGCTGTGGTTTCCCAACAGCCCCTGACTGCTGTGAACCCAGGGAACAGAACTGACCTACCTGGGAGACCACTGCCCTAGGCCGCTCAAGAGTTCCCTTCTTCTGTGGTCTAGGCCAGGCCTGTACACACCAAGGAAAGGGTCTTGGTGGTCTCTCAAATGTTCCAATCATCTGATGCCCCTGAGCAGTTCTTGAAAGTTTCATAAACCTTTCATGTGAATAAAATCTCTGGGGTTGGAAGTACTGAATCCCAAAACTTTTACCTTGACTATGGGTGTTTGTATTCTGAAAATGTGAAGGATGAAACCACTTAGACCTCTGCTCTGAACAAAAGTGGGGACCCATAGCCTGGGGAGCTTTCAAGGAAACATCGTTAAAGTCACCTCCAGTTCTGGTTGGTAAAGGACAGAATACTGGGGTGAGGTGGAAATCCTGAAGGTTCTGGCTGACTTCACTTCTAGCCCCAGCTTCTCTTACAGGCATCTTAGCGTGAGTTTCAGATGAGCTTTTTGGATGATGGCGTCTTTGTTGTCCTTCATTTTCAGCTGTTTCAGACAAACTTTCACTGGAAGAAACTTGAATTCCTTGAAAGTTCTCAAAGTCTTGGTCTACCTGGATGCCCAACTCCCTGGCCAGGGAGGCCATGTCCTCCACGGACACACATGTGAGTGAAGAGGAAATCACTTCCTGGAGGGTTGCTCGCAGGCACCCCATGCTCTTCCCTCTCTCCCCAGCTTCCTCCTCCTCCCAAAATAGTAGCTGTAATGGCTTCAGTTTCAGTACCGTCTGGAAAATCTGAGCCTCCTCACTCTCCTTGGCCTGGGGACTGAGGACAAAGTAGCATCTTTGAATAGCAGCTTCACCTAAAAACATTAGCAAGTCCCATTCCTTCTCACCTAGACAGTCAGTGAAAAAAAACACAGCTGAGGAAACTTCCATCAAGAAACCAAACTGTGTCCAAAAACTTTGTACATCTCCACGGAGGTTGGCCACCACAAAAGCCTTTTGAAAAACATAAGGATTTTCCTTTAGACCATCACAATCAGGGAAATACCACATTATCTCAACCAGGCCATCAGATATTTGCCGGGGAAGTACTGGGACAGACAAATCCCGATGGAGGAAGATTTTGTGTGGCTTCATTTGGGCAGGGCTGAGCAGAGTGTTGAGGATTCTGGATTTGGAGAAGCTACAGTATCCTAGGCGCACAAAAGAGATGACAGGCACCTGCTCAAGAGTCAGAAACTGATCTGTAACCATTGTAGGCCCTCCTGCAGACTGTGTTGGTTGCTTCTTCACAATGTCCTTCATGGCCCTCAGCATAAAGATGCTTTTGTTGTTTTCTGCATCTGGCAGTAGCAAGGGAAGAGCAAATTGGCACTGATACATGTTTGACATGACTTCACGTTGCAAAGAACTGTCTGAACACAGCAGAGAGGCACAAAGCACATCAAAGGGATTAATGGTTTGTGTGTCTCTAATTTCCAAATTCCCTATTCCAGTCAGCAATTCTCCTTCACTATCCTTATCCAGAACCTTGTGTCTGAGGATTGAATCTCTGGCCGTCATATCCAGAGCTTGAACCTTCATCAGGAAATTCCAGGCTAAGTCCCCTGGACTTTCAGGTGTCCACCCATGTCCTCGATCTAAGGAGAATTGTTTAACAAAATCTGGCAGGAGTTTTCTGTTCCTATCCATGTTCAAATATGACAGGAGATCATTAAACACTTTTTTTCTCTCTGTAGGAAAAAAGATACTCAGTGAATACACAAATTCAGAGTCTAAGCCTCCTTCACTGACTTTTAGTATGAAACAGTTGACATTTTCACTGCCAAAAGATGAAACAATATAAATAAAGTGAAAATTCCTTTTACCACTCTGCTGATTCCACCACTTTCTTTCCAAGAGATATATCAATATGTTATGGTATGTTGGCTTTCCATTCTTTTTCTGCGTAAATATATAAGTATGCATTATATACACAAATATACAGTTTGGTTTAATGGGCGCCATTTTATTTTCACAGAAATGATGTTACACAAATGATTCTTTAACTTGTTCTTACTTAATGGTATTTCTTGAAAATTCTTCCAAGTCAGTATATATCGAGATTTGTTTAATTCATTTTAGCTAATCAATTGTACAACCAATTTTGGATGCACCATTGTTTACTTAGCCATTGTCTACTGATGGTCATTTAAGTTTCCCAATTTATTGGTTAATGTTTGTATGCAGCAGTGAAAAAACATTGTTAATGCTTCATTATACACATGTAGGAGGAATTCTTCATATTGATACATATATTGCTTCTTTCTTTATACTGATTTATTTCTCTCTATATATAAATATAACAAATATATATAACACATATAAATATATATATTTCATATATTGATTTATTTCTTAAATGATTCTCTTGGTAAAGTTTAGAGAAATAAAAAATTTGATTTCCATTAAAGTTTTCTCAGAATTTACATGCTGTACCTAATTTATCCTGATCTCCCATTATCTAATACATTTCTAGTCACTTCCTGAGAATACAGAGATAGTGGTAAGTAGGAAAAAAAACACAGAGAGAAGTTTCTTCTCCTGGTGGATACCAAACCAGCATAAAGCTTCCTGGATCCACTTTAACATAGCCTAGAAGAAACAACAGAAGTGAGAGAGAAGTGTAGATTTCAAGAATTAACCCAAGTTGAGAACCAAGATGGCGGCATGAGTAGAGCAGTGGAAATCTCCTCCCACAACCATGTATGTTTTTAAAAATACAACAAATACAACTATTCCTAAAAGAGAGACCAGAAGACACAGGACAACAGCCAGACTACATCCACACCTGTGAGAACTCAGCACCTCGCAAAGGGGGTAAGATACAAGTCGCGGCCTGGCAGGACCCAAGCGCCTCTCACCCCAGCTTCCGGTGGGAGGAGAGGAGTTGGAGCAGGGAGGGAGAGGGAGCCCAGGACTGCTAAACACCCAGCATAGCCATCCGCACCAGAGCACAGACACACAGTGCGTGGTATGCTGGATACCAGGGAAACAGGACAGTAAGACCTGTGAGCGGGCCCCCACAGCCGGCGCACCCAGGACTAAGAAAAGTGAGTGCTTTTTGAAAGTCTTAAAGGAACAGGGACCCCACAGCTGGACAGAAGTGTCCCGGGACACTTAGCCCAGAAGTTGGGAATCCTGGGGAACTCCGGGTGCCCTAACCCCCTGGGCAGCAGCACAGCTTGACCCTGCTCTTGGGTGGTATGCCTTAGCCTGTGACGGACTGGTCTGAGATGACTTGGGTTGAGTGGGCTTGGATTGAGAAGGCTTACACTGAGAGGACTGGGGCTGGCATGGCTTGGGCTGGGCAGGTTTGGATGGAGACCTTTGAGCTGTGGGGTGCTGAGGTTGAGAGGTTATAGGTTGGGAGGGTTTGGGCTGGAAATGCTTGACTTGGGATGGTTTGGGCTGATTGGATTTGAGCTGAGATCTGGGTAAACATGTGCTATTGGACATGGGATGAACTCCCATCTGGAAAGCTGGATTTAAAGGCCCACCCTCTGTCTTCATCTGGGCTCCTTGCCAAGGGGCAGGTCTTGCAGGTTTTTGTATAATGCCTGCTGCTTGAAAAGCTGGTGAGTGAGGATCTTTAATATTAGGTGCTTTTCTCAACAGTTTTCCAGTTGTCCCAGTTGGCTGTGTTCCTTGGGTGCAGGCTTGCCTAGGCTGTGGTTTCCCAACAGCCCCTGACTGCTGTGAACCCAGGGAACAGAACTGACCTACCTGGGAGACCACTGCCCTAGGCCGCTCAAGAGTTCCCTTCTTCTGTGGTCTAGGCCAGGCCTGTACACACCAAGGAAAGGGTCTTGGTGGTCTCTCAAATGTTCCAATCATCTGATGCCCCTGAGCAGTTCTTGAAAGTTTCATAAACCTTTCATGTGAATAAAATCTCTGGGGTTGGAAGTACTGAATCCCAAAACTTTTACCTTGACTATGGGTGTTTGTATTCTGAAAATGTGAAGGATGAAACCACTTAGACCTCTGCTCTGAACAAAAGTGGGGACCCATAGCCTGGGGAGCTTTCAAGGAAACATCGTTAAAGTCACCTCCAGTTCTGGTTGGTAAAGGACAGAATACTGGGGTGAGGTGGAAATCCTGAAGGTTCTGGCTGACTTCACTTCTAGCCCCAGCTTCTCTTACAGGCATCTTAGCGTGAGTTTCAGATGAGCTTTTTGGATGATGGCGTCTTTGTTGTCCTTCATTTTCAGCTGTTTCAGACAAACTTTCACTGGAAGAAACTTGAATTCCTTGAAAGTTCTCAAAGTCTTGGTCTACCTGGATGCCCAACTCCCTGGCCAGGGAGGCCATGTCCTCCACGGACACACATGTGAGTGAAGAGGAAATCACTTCCTGGAGGGTTGCTCGCAGGCACCCCATGCTCTTCCCTCTCTCCCCAGCTTCCTCCTCCTCCCAAAATAGTAGCTGTAATGGCTTCAGTTTCAGTACCGTCTGGAAAATCTGAGCCTCCTCACTCTCCTTGGCCTGGGGACTGAGGACAAAGTAGCATCTTTGAATAGCAGCTTCACCTAAAAACATTAGCAAGTCCCATTCCTTCTCACCTAGACAGTCAGTGAAAAAAAACACAGCTGAGGAAACTTCCATCAAGAAACCAAACTGTGTCCAAAAACTTTGTACATCTCCACGGAGGTTGGCCACCACAAAAGCCTTTTGAAAAACATAAGGATTTTCCTTTAGACCATCACAATCAGGGAAATACCACATTATCTCAACCAGGCCATCAGATATTTGCCGGGGAAGTACTGGGACAGACAAATCCCGATGGAGGAAGATTTTGTGTGGCTTCATTTGGGCAGGGCTGAGCAGAGTGTTGAGGATTCTGGATTTGGAGAAGCTACAGTATCCTAGGCGCACAAAAGAGATGACAGGCACCTGCTCAAGAGTCAGAAACTGATCTGTAACCATTGTAGGCCCTCCTGCAGACTGTGTTGGTTGCTTCTTCACAATGTCCTTCATGGCCCTCAGCATAAAGATGCTTTTGTTGTTTTCTGCATCTGGCAGTAGCAAGGGAAGAGCAAATTGGCACTGATACATGTTTGACATGACTTCACGTTGCAAAGAACTGTCTGAACACAGCAGAGAGGCACAAAGCACATCAAAGGGATTAATGGTTTGTGTGTCTCTAATTTCCAAATTCCCTATTCCAGTCAGCAATTCTCCTTCACTATCCTTATCCAGAACCTTGTGTCTGAGGATTGAATCTCTGGCCGTCATATCCAGAGCTTGAACCTTCATCAGGAAATTCCAGGCTAAGTCCCCTGGACTTTCAGGTGTCCACCCATGTCCTCGATCTAAGGAGAATTGTTTAACAAAATCTGGCAGGAGTTTTCTGTTCCTATCCATGTTCAAATATGACAGGAGATCATTAAACACTTTTTTTCTCTCTGTAGGAAAAAAGATACTCAGTGAATACACAAATTCAGAGTCTAAGCCTCCTTCACTGACTTTTAGTATGAAACAGTTGACATTTTCACTGCCAAAAGATGAAACAATATAAATAAAGTGAAAATTCCTTTTACCACTCTGCTGATTCCACCACTTTCTTTCCAAGAGATATATCAATATGTTATGGTATGTTGGCTTTCCATTCTTTTTCTGCGTAAATATATAAGTATGCATTATATACACAAATATACAGTTTGGTTTAATGGGCGCCATTTTATTTTCACAGAAATGATGTTACACAAATGATTCTTTAACTTGTTCTTACTTAATGGTATTTCTTGAAAATTCTTCCAAGTCAGTATATATCGAGATTTGTTTAATTCATTTTAGCTAATCAATTGTACAACCAATTTTGGATGCACCATTGTTTACTTAGCCATTGTCTACTGATGGTCATTTAAGTTTCCCAATTTATTGGTTAATGTTTGTATGCAGCAGTGAAAAAACATTGTTAATGCTTCATTATACACATGTAGGAGGAATTCTTCATATTGATACATATATTGCTTCTTTCTTTATACTGATTTATTTCTCTCTATATATAAATATAACAAATATATATAACACATATAAATATATATATTTCATATATTGATTTATTTCTTAAATGATTCTCTTGGTAAAGTTTAGAGAAATAAAAAATTTGATTTCCATTAAAGTTTTCTCAGAATTTACATGCTGTACCTAATTTATCCTGATCTCCCATTATCTAATACATTTCTAGTCACTTCCTGAGAATACAGAGATAGTGGTAAGTAGGAAAAAAAACACAGAGAGAAGTTTCTTCTCCTGGTGGATACCAAACCAGCATAAAGCTTCCTGGATCCACTTTAACATAGCCTAGAAGAAACAACAGAAGTGAGAGAGAAGTGTAGATTTCAAGAATTAACCCAAGTTGAGAACCAAGATGGCGGCATGAGTAGAGCAGTGGAAATCTCCTCCCACAACCATGTATGTTTTTAAAAATACAACAAATACAACTATTCCTAAAAGAGAGACCAGAAGACACAGGACAACAGCCAGACTACATCCACACCTGTGAGAACTCAGCACCTCGCAAAGGGGGTAAGATACAAGTCGCGGCCTGGCAGGACCCAAGCGCCTCTCACCCCAGCTTCCGGTGGGAGGAGAGGAGTTGGAGCAGGGAGGGAGAGGGAGCCCAGGACTGCTAAACACCCAGCATAGCCATCCGCACCAGAGCACAGACACACAGTGCGTGGTATGCTGGATACCAGGGAAACAGGACAGTAAGACCTGTGAGCGGGCCCCCACAGCCGGCGCACCCAGGACTAAGAAAAGTGAGTGCTTTTTGAAAGTCTTAAAGGAACAGGGACCCCACAGCTGGACAGAAGTGTCCCGGGACACTTAGCCCAGAAGTTGGGAATCCTGGGGAACTCCGGGTGCCCTAACCCCCTGGGCAGCAGCACAGCTTGGAGGCCCCCCATGGCGATAAACAGCCTCCCACCCATTCCCCATCTGACGTGGCTCCTCAATATTGGAGCAGCAGCCTGAGGCTGGCCACGCCCACAGCAACCACAGAGCTCCACAGTGGCCGAGCAAGAATTAGAAACCCCATATACATGCAGCTGCCCAGCACAAGCTGCTAGGGATTGCTGTTCTCCCAGGAGAGGAAGACCACAAACCAGCAAGAAGGGACTTTCTCTTAGCCAACACACGCGACAGCTCCCCACAAATACCTCTATCACCATGAAAAGGTAGAAGAATTTGATACAGACGAAAATCACAGAGGCAAACCCTAAGAAGGAGATAGACCTAACCAATCACCTTGAAAAAGAATTAAAAATAAAGCACATAACCATGCTGATGGAACTGCAGAGAAATATGCAAGAGCTAAGGGATGATGTCCGGAAGGAGATTACAGAAATGAAACAATCTCTGGAAGGATTTATAAGCAGAGTGGATAAGATGAAAGAAGCCATTGATGGAATAGAAACCAGAGAACAGGAACACATAGAAACTGATGCAGAGAGAGATAAAAGGATCTCCAGGAATGAAACAATATTAAGAGAACTGTGTGACCAATCCAAAAGGCACAATATCTGCATTATAGGGATACCAGAAGAAGAAGAAGAGAGAAAAAGGGATAGAAAGTGTATTTGAAGAAATAATTGCTGAAAACTTCCCCAAACTGGGGAAGGAAATAATCCATCAGACCATAAAGTGCACAGAACCCCCAACAGAAGGGACCCAAGGAGGACAACACCAAGACACATAACAATTAAAATGACAAAGATCAAGGAAAAGGACAGAGTTTAAAGGCAGCTAGAGAGAGGAAAAAGGTCACCTACAAAGGAAAACCCATCAGGCTATCATCAGACTTCTCAACAGAAACATCACAGGCCAGAAGAGACTGGCATGATATATTTAATGCAATCAAAAAGAAGGGCCTTGAACCAAGAATACTGTATCCAGCACAATTATCATTTAAATGTGAAGGAGGGATTAAACAATTCCCAGACAAGCAAAAGTTGAGGGAATTTGCCTCCCACAAACACCTCTACAGGGTATTTTAGAGGGACTGCTCTAGATGGAAGTGCTCCTAAGACTAAATAGATGCACCAGGGAAAATAAAATCATAGCAAAGAAAGCAGATCAACCAAATATGAACTAAAGGCAAAAAATAAAATCAACTACTCACAAAAGCAGTTAAAGGAAACACAAAAGAGCACAGAATAAAACAACCAACATATAAAGAATGGAGGAGGAGGAATAAGGAGGGAGAAAAATAAAGAATCACCAGACAGTGTTTAAAATAGCTCAATAAGTGAGTTAAGTTAGATGGTAAGATAGTAAAGAAGCTAACCCATGAACCTTTGGTAACCACGAATCTAAAGCCTGCAATGGCAATAAGTACATATCTTTTAATAGTCACCCTAAATGTAAATGGACTGAATGCACCAATCAAAAGACACAGAGTAATAGATTGGATAAAAAAGCAAGACCCATCTCTATGCTGCTTTCAAGAGACTCACCTCAAACCCAAAGACATGCACAGACTAAAAGCCAAGGGATGGAAAAAGATACTTCATGCAAACAACAGGGAGAAAAAAGCAGGTGTTGCAGTAGTATCAGACAAAGTAGACCTCAAAACAAAGAAAATAACAAAAGATAAAGAAGGACATCACATAATGATAAAGGGCTCAGTCCAAAAAGAGGATATAACCATTATAAATATATATGCACCCAACACAGGAGCACCAGCATATGTGAAACAAATACTAACAGAACTAAAGGAGGAAAGAGAATGCAAGGCATTCATTTTAGGAGACTTCAACACACCACTCACTCCAAAGGATAGATTCACCAGACAGAAAATAAGTAAGGACACAGAGGCACTGAACAGCACACTAGAACAGGTGGACCTAATAGATATCTATAGAACTCTACATCCAAAAGCCATTGTTTACAGTAGCCAAGAAATGGAAGCAACCTAAGTGTCCATCAGTAGATGAATAGATAAAGAAGATGTGGTACATACACACAATGGAATATAATTCAGCCATAAGAAGAAAACAAATCATACCATTTGCAACAACATGGATGGAGCTAGAGGGTATAAATAAGCCAGGCAGAGAAAGACAAACACCAAGTGATTTCATTCATATGCAGAGTATGGGAACAAAGAAAGACTGAAGGAACAAAACAGCAGCAGAATCACAGAACCTAAGAATGGACTAACAGTTACCAAAGGGAAAGGGACTGGGGAGAATGGGAGGGAAGGAAGGGATAAGCGTGGGGTAAAAGAAAGGGGGTATTACAATTTGCATGTATAATGTGGGGGAGCTGGGGAGGGCTGTGCAGCACAGAGAAGACAAGTGGTGATTCTATAGCATCTTACTATGCTGATGGACAGTGACTGTAATGGGGTTTGTGGGGAGGACTTGGTGAAGGGGGCACCCTAGTAAACATAATGTTCTTCATGTAATTGTAGATTAATGACAACAACAACAACAAAAAAGAATTAACCCAAGTTAATCTAAGAAATCCACGGGTAGTCTGAAAGTTGCTTGGACTGGTATATGTGTTGGGTAAGAAGGTGAGGAAGGAGTTGAGGCTAGCATGAAAGGTCCCCAGAGGAGGGAATGAGAGGATAAGTTGCAGGAAAGCTTGGCCTATTCTCTAGTTTGTTTTAGGATTGTATATTTTGTCATTTTGATGAATTTAAAATTCATCAAATAAGTTAGCACAGAAATCAGTCACCACAAAGCCCAGGCCAGATGGCTAGTGTTGACAAAGTAATAACAGGGCTACTCTGGAGCACTTACAAGCAGCAGAGTAAATGTATGCACAGCAACAATGATATATTTAATAAGCACATAGCTTGGATTTTAAAAAGTAAGAAACAATAATATCATTTTATAATTAAAAATCCATAAAAATAATCCAACTAAGGCATAAAGAATTGACCAGAGATTTCAGCTGCTATCCACTGAAAGAATTTTGAATTTGAGACTAGTCAGGTTAACCAGCAACTAAAATAGACCAAAAAAGCAGGGGGACCTCTTTGGAGAAATTTAACAGTGTGTATTCTCTATAATTCATCATACACAATGTTTAAGACACAATCCAAAGTTAACAGTTAACAGACATAGGAAGAAATGTAATATAACCCATACTCAATCAATGGAGATGGACCACAAGATGACCCAAATATTGGATTCAGCATATAAGAATTTTAAAGCAGCTGTTTTAAGTATTCTCAAGAATGTAAAATAAAATAAGCCCATAATGAATGATTAAATAGGAATTTTCAGATAAAAATAGAAAGTACTTTAAAAATGGAAATTATATAATTAAACATCACAATATTTGAATTTAAAAAAATTAGTAGATGTACTTAACAACAGATTGGAAATGAAAGAAGAAAAAACTCAATATACTGAAAAATACAGCAATAGAAATGATCCGATATGAAGAATAGAATAACTATTAAAGAAAAAGCATGAATAGAGCCTCAACAACCTATAGAAAAATATCAAAAACTCTAACATACATGTGCTACTGGGAGGTGGATTGGGAATTCCTTATTCTTGTCTCCTCAAAGGGAAGAATTCAGTCAAGAGACTTGACAGAGAGTTAAACCTGAAAACAGTTTTGTATTTAGAAAAGTAAAAGGACAGTATACTCCAAAGACAGAGTTGTGGGCTGACCTTGCAAATGGGTAGCAGCCCAATGAGTTTACAATGTTTTCTATGGGGGTTTATTTGATATCCTCCCTCCCATTTTGTCACTATCAAGCCACCTTTTAGATCCACCTTGGTTCCTTGCCTCCAACCTCTTTGCACACGTTGATGTCAACCATCTGCCCATGAGCACCTAAAGGGAAATGGACCATAACTGAAGTGTAAATAATATTATAATGGCACTGAGGTTACTAGTGGATAAGGTTTTCCCCAAGAGTACATGCTCCCAAACTGGCAAAGCCCCAGTGATCCACATCTTTTGCTTGTCAATCTGTGCTAAACCACAAAAAGGATTGGTTTAAGGGAGACAGAGTGGTCTCTGGGTAGATACTGAGTGGTCTGTCATCCTTTCTCCCCTCCTGCTCATGACTATCTAACTGCCTACTCTAACACACGTATTTGGAGTCTCAGAAAGGCCAGGAGTAAGCAAATGGGACAAAAGAAAATATTTGCATAAATAATGGCTGAAAACTTCCCCAATTTTTAAAAAAAGTGTTATAGTTTCACAAAACTCTGCAAACCCTAAGGAGGATAAAAACAAAGAAAAATCACACCTAGACATAACAGAGTCAAACGCTAATAAAAATTTAAGAAAAATGACAAAACACTTTACCAAGGAACAATGATAAAATGACTAAAGACTTAGCATCAGAAACAATGGAAGCCAAAAGACAGAGGAATGACATCCGTAAGGTGCTAGAGGCAAAAAAAAAAAAAAAAAAAAAACCCTCACATATCTAGAATTCTATACCTAGCAAAATCTTCTGGAATGAGGGAACAATAAAGACATTTTTGAATAAATAAAATCTAAGAGAATTTACCACCAGCAAACCTTCACTTAAATGAATATTAAATAAAATTCTTCTGGCTAAAGGGAAACATCAGATTAAAACTTGGATCTTCAGGAAGGAAGAAAGAAAGGACACAGGAAACGGTAAGTATATGGGTTTCTCTCCAATTATAAACTCTAAGGGAAGGGAGTTGATTTATAGTGTATATGCAAATTGACTTTATACAAGGCAGAGCACACAGGGCAATACCTGAAGCCTTCCATAGACTTTAATTTGACATTGACTTTTCTTTTCCATCATGACATTTAACATGACAAAAAGTATGAAGACCCTTCTCTTTTGAGCCAGATGCGTTTAGATTTTTTTTTCAGTTCCTGGCTGCATAGACAAATATTACATAGGATAGCCACATGGCTCCAGTCAACTAGAGGGGTTTGGTAGCCATTAGAATTATATTGCAGATCATAACTACATTATTATTAAGACTACTCTGTGTTCTGCTAAAGGTGTTAGATTGATTGCAAAAATTTCCCCCACTTGTTATCCATACCTTTTGAAATACTACTTTGCAAAAGGTAAAGTCTACTTTTCCCTAAGCCTTGAATATTCATTGGCTTTGTGGCTTGCTTTGGCCAACAGAATGTGGCAAGAGTGATGCTGTTATGGATTGAATTGTGTCCCTTTCCCCCAAAATTATGTTACATCCAGTACCTCAGAATGTGGCTTTATTTGTAAATTGGGTCTTTACAGAGATCAAATTAAAATGAAGTCTGCAGGTGTGCCTTAATCCAATAAAATTGTTATCCTTATAAGAAGGCGAAATTTGAAAACAGAGACATACACAGATGGAAAATGGTTTGAAGACACAGAAAGATGGTCATCTACAAATCAAGGAATACCTGAAGCTACCAGAAGCTAGCAGAGAGGACAGATCTTTCCTTAATGTCTTCATAGAGAGAGCATGACCCCATTAACACTTTGGCCTCCATAATTGCAAAAATAAACTTTCCATTGTTTTAAGCCACCCTTCTGTAGTACTTTATTGTGGCATCCCTATAGAGTAATAGTTCTGAGCCTGTACCTCAAATGACCTTCACTACTTCTTTCTCCTCTTATTCCTCTGCCCTCACCATAAGAAGATACCTCATCTTGTCTCAGAACAGACCCAGACTAGCCTTCTGGAAGATAAGGCTACCCTATGGCTAGCTGAGCACAGATGTATATGGGAAGACCAGAAGAACTGCCCAGCTAATTACAGACACATTAACAACAAGGCATTCTTAGTGTTTGAAGCAACTGAATTTTGAGAAGCTTGGTTATGCAGCATTATTGCTGCAATAATAACTGATACAGGAAAAAAAATCATGCAAACAAAAGAACATCATGCAAGAAACACATTATAATATTAGACTGTCACCTGTGGAAGAAAGTGAATGGGAATGGGGAATGGAGAAAAAAGTGGAATAAACAAACAAATGGAGCTTTTTACAGAATAATGATGATACTATGTACTGAATAATTAATTCAATCCCATGTAACAGCTGAAATATATAAAAAATAAAAAAAATTTTATTCAAAATCAGGCCTAAAAGCAACTACGTATTAAGAAGGTATAGGGATAGGGCAAGAACTGTTATGGGGTGACTTATGTACCCCTCAAATTCATGTTGAAATCCTAACTCTCAGCACATCAGAATGTGATATTAGTTGGGAATAGGGTCACTGCAGTTGTAATTAGTTAGATGAGGTCTTTAGGATGGGCCCTAATCAAATATGACTTATGTCCTTATTAAAAGGGGAAATTTGGGCATAGAGAGCATGGACTCAGGGAGACAACCATGTGAAGATGAAGGCAGATGGGTAGCAGGGGAATGTTTCCACAGGCAAAGAATTTCCAGCAAACCACCAAAAGCTAGGAATAGATTTTTTTTTCCTTAGATAGAACAATACTTGACTCATACAGAGAAGAGATAGAGCAAGGTTAGCTTCAATAGTGAGAGGAACAGATTCTTCTTTACAGCCTTCAGAAAGAATCAACCCTGTAGATACTTTGATTTCAGATTTAGAGCCTCCAAGCTGTGAGACAATATACTTCTGTTGTTTATTGTTTAAACCACCTAGTTTGTGGAACTTTGTTACAGCGACCCTAGCAAACTAACACAAGGTGTGATGAGGAGGAAATTTCTCCTTTCCTACCCAGAACTGTGCACAAGCCTATAAACTGACAATCAATATTTACTTTTGCTTATAATGCCCACCATTTTCCAAGTCCTGGTTCTTCTTTCCTGTCAGCACCCACCTCTGAGGCAATTTCAGGCCATAACAAATTTCTGAGTAGATGCTTTTCTGGTGATATTAAGTGCCCTTCCTCTTCCCCTCTCCCCATGTCATGGCAACCTAAAAATAACTGTTGCCCAACCGGGCAAAGATCACATCTCATGTCCATACCTTCCATACCTTTCTCTTCTTCTTCCTCCAATGACATGCCAGTTTCCTCATCCTCACAACTCTCTTTTTTCTCAGAGAAATCTGTGGTTTGTGAATTTACAAAGTCTTCTTCACCATCATAGACAATGTCCTCTGGGTCATTATAATCCTCTTCTCCCAAGATGGTTTCTGCATGTTCAGAGTATCCAACAGGTTCTAGACACTCCTCTTTCCCTAAGTATAAAGAATCATCTGGCTCCGCATATCTCTGCCCATCTCGTAAGTACTCAGTAGGTGCTGGAACTTCATATTTAGCAGCGTCAACTGAATGTAGTAATGTGACTTTCGGTGTGTTGGATTCCCTCTGGTTTTCTCTTGAGAACAAGACAGTTTCCCTATAACTAGTTTTATCACTGAAAGCCTCAGGGGTGTCTAAATCCAAGTGTCCTTTCCCTTTCCCACAGGACACTGTGCTCTCAGGAGTCTCAGGCTGTTTCTCTCCAGAGGAAAAAGCATCTTCCAATTTCTTGCTTACCCCCATAAATTGAGGAGCTTCTATATTCTCATGTTTTAACAATTCTGAAAAGAATAAGAAAGTTTGGGATTTTTTGTTTTGTTTTGTTTTTCCAAATTACCAAAAAAAAACTTTTATAACAGCTTGAGTTTCTTGAGATCTCAAAGCATCATCTCCTTTATTTCACTGGAGGATAGGAATGAATACCTACCATCTCTTACACAAAAGGCGAAAAGTCAGCTGTCAGAACTTTCTTTCTCCCACTGGAAGAAAACCAGATCACACTCTTGCCTTGTTCAAAAGTTGAGTCTTTCACAACAAATTCAAAGGGTCAATGAGCAAAACAGAAAATTTGAATCCTATGAATAGTGCTTATGTGTGGATTTACAGTGACCCCAAACCAGCTCTGACTTCCTAGGGCCATTGCTAATGAAATCATCCTGAACAGGAAGCAAAGAGCTCTAATTTGGAATCTAAGTCTTAGTAATAATAAAACCTGTTTCTCTAGCATATGGTGCTTGTCCTGCATTAGAGACCATTAATATTAACCTTTTAATCTCAGCCTCTAACGTCTCATAAAATAATATTTTTTTAATTCCTGGAAGAGGAGCTACACCTACTTCAACTGGTAATCTACAAAATTACTAAATAATCCATTCTAGAAGAATTGCTCCCTCATCTGCCACTAATCTTTGAACACTGAAGAATTAGCTTTTGAAATGCTCCAGGAAACTAAAGTTCTGGCTGGCATTCTTATGAGAGAGAAAATGATCCACTGTGTAAATGTGCTAAAAACAATTTTCCCTACATTTTCAAAATAGCTTTAGTAAGTGAAAGATGCAGGTCTTTTAAGTTAATGCCCATGAATTTACTTACTTTATAAAGAATATCCGGATGTGTCATAATTAACAAGTCTCTTTCCAACTCTGAGTATTTCTAAATGTCATGGCCAGAAGAATGAACAGTTTATACTAGCATTAAAACATCAGAAAGTTTGGATATAATTTAAACAAAAAATTACCAGTCCCCTAAACCAAAAAGATACACAGTTCCTAGCTATTTAAATCCTGGACACTTTTCACCTTTACCCTATATTTCAGTGAAAATTATCTCCAGAAGAAAGATAAATGAAATAATAGTTTGGAGATCATTTCTTTTATCACAATACTGTCCTCTCACCCTCAAAAAAGTATAGAAATTAAACTTACCATGCCTTAAGTTCCAAGTGGTAGCTGACTCTGGAAAAGTACTAAATAAACACTTGAGAAAATCCAGACAGCTCACCTCTCCCTTTTTCTGTACCAAAATTAACAGCTTTCGACTTTTCTTCAGGGGATCTGTGATATCCTCCAGAGCCTCATACTCTTCCTCAGAAATCAGCCTCCGAGAGTTTAATGCATCTAAGATAGAATCAGGATCTTGTTGGAGGAGATCAAGTAACTTCTTTCGTTCTTTTTCTATGATCTCTGAGGGAACACTCACAGCAGCCATTGTCCTTGTTTTCTCTAGACCAGGAAATGGATTATGAAATCTGTCCAACAGAGAAACGGAAGTTGCTTTTTTTTTTTATGCAAGAAGTATGAGCAAAATTAAACATGCTGGTGATGCCCCGTGTGGGGAATGGCAGATGGATATCCACCGTGGAAGGAGAGAAATCCACCCCCTGAGCCTTCCTGCACCTTGGCTCCCTTCAGATTATTTACCTGCTCTTTTGATGACTGTCAGTCTCCTCCCCGTCTCCCACCCGCAGATAAACAAGGCGACGCGATGAGATATCGAAGAACTGAGTAGGCCAGCCAGGGGACTCAAGGCAAACCAGCTCAAGAGTGGTGCTGGAAAGGCACCTCTCATATTTATTGATCAGGCATCACATTCTTGAGTGGGTTAACAAGTTTCTAGACACAATGGTTAACATGCAGGAATGTAATTGCCCCCAGGTCGCTGAGGCAAGTCATCCCTGTCGCCAGGCAATGAGGGGGTAGAGATAACAAGAAACAGATCTCGGTTTAGATTTAGTGAGCTGCCGTATGCACCACAGATAACAAGGAAGGCAAACAATTCCCATAGAAACAGAATGATCTATGGATGGCAACCTACATTTCCCCTGTTTTTAAATTAAAAAGGAAGAGAAGTCCGTTATTCCACCGCAGCTTGGTAAAGAAAAGGGGCGACAAGAAATGCCTCATCAGGGGAGGCGAGGTGCTAAGCCACACCTCAGTTGACCCCCTCATCTCTTGACCTGTTGGCCCCCACGACTGTGCCTGTCTTAGCTTGTTCCTCCCGCGAGGAATCTTACCTGTCTCTGGCTAGCCAGCCATGTCTTGGGGCCATACAGGGAGTAAATGTGATAGAGCAAAGAGGCATACAAAAGATTTATGCAAACACTTCATCATCCCCTTAATTGCTGCGGAATTTTAAAATATACAGTGATCTGTCACATGGACTCTCAAGAAGATAACATGCAATTATTAATTTTTTGCCATGACTTCTTGAAATATAGCATATGCCTGAATTGGCTTAAGCCAGTAATCAGATGGCACACCCATGCTACCAAAACAGGAAGGCAAATGCATAAAAGAAGTAGGCCTACAGGTATTGGCCATAGCCAGTGAAAACAAGAGAACCAATCAGATAATCCAGGTAATTGTGAAAACTTATCAATAATATGGTGAATATCATCCAACTGGTTTTGAATTGTCTGTGAAAAATCAGATATATTAAAAAAAACACATTCCAGGAAATTGTTCACAGCCCAAATGTTCTTTCAGCAACAAATAGTCCATGGTAGCACGATCCTGAAGCACTGCCACTTGAACTTCTCTAAGTTCCTGATTAAGTTCTGACAGTATGGAAGCAGTCAGATTTGTAGTCTTGCTGTAGGCACGGGCCAGCTTAGATATTTCCTTCTGCATTCCTGCAACGAGTCCTGGTACAGGCAATACAAACGCAGCTGAGACTGCAATGGCAACAGGGTCCAACAATTTCAAGTTGTCATCACAATCTGGAGGCAGGGCTCAGGTCACTCTTCAGTGTTTAAATCCAGGATGATCTATAAGGGCTGGGAGAATATACCACAGATTGGGCTGTCCTATACCACAGACGCCTTAATAATGTGAGGAAAAGGCTTGATAGGTTTTGTTATCACACGAAAACACCCAGCCATTTGGGAGTCTATATCCATATGGTCATTTTACATGAACAGTAGATTTACAGTAAGAAGGTGTATTAGTACAATTGATACATATACAACTAGAAACTATAGTGGTGTTAACTGGTAAATTCAATTGAATTTCTTGAATAAGAATCTTGGGGGCTAAAGTAATATTTATTCCAGAAATATTAGTTAACACTGAAAAAGGGAGTCCTATGCCTTCAAATTCTTCCTTAAGATTCCACTAATAGAGGAATCACCTGCTATACAAAAAGATGTCTTGTTAAGCCCTTGATTAGCCAATTGCAACCACATATTGGGTGAAGAATACTCATTCTCTGCAGTTAGTGAAATATCCAAATAAACATAACTACTTTTATATATTTGATCAGGGCTTCCCTTCTGGAATTTTTCACAAGAATAATTGCCAGTATCATTTCAGGTTAAAACTGTTTTATAAATATCATAGTGGGTATTGTCTCTTTTAGACTGATCAGTAGCATTATCCCAACCAAGTTTTCCTCCATCTTTCTGTCTATATATTTCATTATCATCCTTTTTCTAAATCACTGGGCCTACAGGAATTGAACAAGTGGAGATACAATGAAGTACTACTCCCCAGTCTAAGTATGGAGGACTGCTAAAACTAGCAGTAATAGTACAGGCCTGGGTTATGTATATGTGTTTAGAGATTAGAGTCAAAAACTTCATTATCATGTAGGGATCCTCACTCCAGTGACGGAACCGGTTGAGGGACATCGCCTGGGACAGCCATCTCAGATGGCAGTGTTGCTGGGAGTTCCTCTTTATAGCGTATCTTGATCTGCTTTCTAGGCAGCCAGATCAAGCGTTGGTCCTCTGTAATGACACAAACAAACCCTTTGCCCTACACCTTCATATGACCTTTATACCATTGTAAAGAACCTATTGGAGACCACTATACAGGAACTGCTGTTGTTTTAGAAAAAGAAGTATTGTCAGAAAAATGCACTTCCATAGCTGATTGTCACCCTTTAAAAGACCAAAATTAAGGATATGTAAAGCATGTATTAATCATTGATTTGCAGTTAATTTTATCATATCAGGCAGTAATCCCCCTTTTTGTTTTAATAAATAATGCTTAAGAGTAAGATGGCGATGTTCAATTAGAGCTTGGCCTGTAGAATTGTATGAAATGCCTGTTCTTTGAGTGGATACTATATAGCCGAAAAAAAATTTTTTTAGCATAGAGAGGTAAACTGGAACATTGTCAGTCAGCTTAAGAGAAAAAGCTTAAAACATTTTGTCGGCAACATTCGAAACAAAAAGCTATAAAATCGTCTTCTTTAGTTTACTTAATCCTATGTAACCAATACCTGTTCTGCTGAAATCTAGTTCTTTACTAGTTTTAGGAGTAATAAAACAGTGACTTTAAATGACAAAAGACTTACAATTGACAATGGTTAAAGACTTGATGAGAGCTTACATAAGAGAGTTGACATAAGAAAATTTGGATATATCTGTAACACAAAACATTCAGTAACAAAGTTTAGCATCATTCCTTTTGACAGTGCTTCTTAGGTAAATATGTATCAGATAAATAAGCCAAATAGGCCAAATATTTTTCCCAATGAGGAGAAAAAATTCTTCTGACATGTTCCAGGGGCCCTCTGGAAAATATCAGAGTTAACTAGAGGTAAAAGCACCTTTCTGAATTTGATTTTGGAAAGTTGTCAAAAGAAAGTTTCTTTGGCATTTGTTTAAATAAGATTATAGGTTGCCATGAAGCAATACTTACCTTTTTAATTAGAATGACAACAAAATACTTCAAAGGCGGATACAGAAGTTTACACAGTTGTTAGCAAAGTTTAACATTTAGTCCTTTGATATTAGAATCTCATTTTATTAAATACTCAGACAATTTATTGAGATTTTAAGCATGAGAAACTATTTTGATAAAACAATTAGAAAGCCTTTTGCAATCTTTCAACATTAAGAGCAGACTAACAGTTTAAGAAAACTTTGTCTTTTTAACTGAAAACAAAATTCTAATTTTGCTATGTACTTAATATCAAGACTCACTTACTTTAATTTCACATAGTATGACTCTATCAATTTTTCCACAAGCTTTCTATGACTTTCTCTTTACATTTAGTGTTCTCCCCCTTTAAATAAATAGCTGTACTTTAGAACAATTACCTTCTTTTACCCTCAACAAAATGAATTTCCATTCTTTACACTTTCTCTTATTAAAACAGACATCTTTAGCATACAGAAATATTTTTGTTATTATATTAAGTAGTTTTCATTAGAACTTAAAATCATTTGATACTTTAACTTTCAGTGAACACTGAAAAATAGGCCACTGTAAACTGTTACACTAGCATTCTTCAGATTGATACATCTATGAACATATATTATCATTTTTGGAAATGTGCTTTACAGCACAATTTCTCATTAGGCACAAAATATGTCTATATAATTTAGCAAACTTTAAGAATTTTGGTTACCACAAAAATTCTCAGGCTGTTTGCATATATATGCACAGTTATACATTAATACAGTATTATTATTAAGATGTTTATTTGCTACACTTGTTTACTTATTTTAGCAACCATGCTAGATTACTTACAAAACTTTTACCAAACATTAGACAAAGTCAAGCTTTTTTTTAAGCATTTTCTTGAAATGTTTAACAGATAACATCAACTTAAATGACTTTAAGTAAACTTTGGCAGCTGATAACTATAAGGACATGTCTGTTTCAGTTAAACTTAAATTAGCATTAATGCTTAATATTTTTTATTAGATTTTCTGGAAGTTTTAGAATGCCCAATTTTCACAAGCGCTTGTTTTTAAATCAATTTTTATTAATACCATCCGGAGGTAGGAAAATATTTTTCATTTACACACTTAGACACACAAACATACAAACTGAGATGTAATGACTACAGTTAACAACACTTTTCATATAAAAACATATACACAGACAGACAAACTGATATAAAGATTTGAGTTACTAATATTTAATTGCCTTCTTTCTTTTTAGCTTACTTGATTAAAAGTACTTCAGTTTTTAAGAATACACTCCAAGGGCGAGCAGTTTACATAACTGGGTTAAGGTTTAGATGGCCCCAGACTAACAGGGCTGATGAAGGCTCTGGACTGATAGGGACTGTGTGTGTCCTGGGGGCTGGAAATGAAATGCAAGTACAATTCTAGCTCCAGTCATTTAAAGCCAGGCTGTATTGCAGAAGATAAATTTCTTCTGTTTCAGGGAGTCTAGTTTAAAAATCTCCCAATTTATGAAGATAATGTTGAACCCAATAAGTAGAACAGATGTTCACTAAGAGAATTTAGAAAACCAGCTCCATATTGTAGT